AGGTCGTACTAAATTTACTACGGGGTATTAGCTACGCCATTAACCATAGTGAATTTTTGCTACGGAAACTAGCGACGAAGTTAGTTTGTAGTTAACTTGCGACAGATTTACTATGGATCGGAGCGTAGTTAATTCGCTATGGACTTGCTACAGATAAAATTGTAGTTAATTTCTTACCATGTTTCTACGGATGTAGTCTGTAACTATTTTACTACGGAATAAGTCCGCTGCAAGTTTCGTTGCAAAGGTGCTACGGATTCCATAACGAAAGTTTACTAACGAAGAATTTAACTACGCAATTGCTCTGTAGCAAATTCCATCGCTAATCATGTTTAACTATGGAATATCATGTTTTAGCTATGGAATTTTTCCGTGGCTATATCGACTTTTTCTTGTAGTGTTAGTCAATTTAGAGGTAATAGGGGTCGAAAATGACTTTTCGACAAAAGATTATTTAGAATAAATAATCTTAACCAAGTTGTAGAATATGTCACAAGGTTTTCGTACATATAAAGAGCGTTGAAATCGGAGTTATAACGAAGAAGTAATGACCCATCGAAGTTTCACGACGGAACTAACACGGCACCGGGAAGCGTAAATAGTGATTTTACAATGGAGGAGTTTTTAGCCTTAGTGATCTAAATGAAAGTCGTATAATATGTTAAACCGAGAAAATCCATAAAAAGAATGCCCAAATTTGACTTTGTATGAAGAAGTTATGATTTTTATAAGATTCGGCTTAGCAGTGCACGACCCGAAACTCGAATTTTAGTTCAAGCGGTTTTTGGCTTACGTGACTTAAATGAGAGTTGAAGATCTCATTAATAGGAACTTAACAGTAAAAAGACAGACGAAAACAGAGTCCGTATGAAGGAGTTACGAATTCTTCGCGGTCATTTAACAGTCTAAGCGCCTCGTACTGTTAAATTTAAGATCGGTCGAGAATTAGCCAAAGGAGTCAAAATGAAAGTTGTAGATATTATTTTTACCTACGCGTGGATATAAAGAACGTCAAAAACGGAGGTCGTATGTGAAAGTTACGGATTTTAGAAGTCGGAAGTGTGCTGTGCGAAAATGGGTGATGTGACACAATCTTGGCCATTGCTTTCTCCCAAAGTCTTGCCACTAGATGGTGACATGTGGCACCAAGTTCATCCATTTTCACCCTATAAATAGAACCTCTCCCACCCTCATTTTCTTCACACTTTTCTCATTCTTTCTTCTCTTTACTCTCTCTCTCTAGAACCTCTCTCTAGCCCCGAAACCCCCCGGAAAGCCTAGGGAACCTCCCTAGCACAAGGCGGAAGCCCCTGAGTGCTCGATAGCTCCGAGAAGAAGAGCTTTTCCGCATGGGAATGCTGCTCCAAGCAAAGCCTGGTTTTCTATAAAACCCGTTGTAAGTGAGCTACGCCTACGCTATTTTTAATATAATTTTTATTTAATTATATTAACGTTATTAAGAAATAAGTAATTGGGCTATTATTATGGGTTATATAAGTATTATTTAACGGTTATATAATAGTAATAATAGCTAGACTATTAATTAGTCTCGGTGAATAATAGACTAAACTCTAGTGGTAATAATACTAGGTTTCGTCGAAGGAATTTTTTTTTTTTTTCAAGAAGTGAAGCGTTGTCTGAGTTTGGAATCACCACATTTTCAACTGAGTGCATAGTTATTTTCATTTTACACATAGATATGAAGTATTTTATATAAACTACGTGTTATGTGTGCATATTATATGTATACTTGTTGTCTATGTTGGATGAACGCTTTTATACATGTTTTAGATGATTTAAATTGTATACGTATTTTATATACACGAATATGTTGGGTATGATACGGGTAGATGAATGATGAGAGATAAAAGATGATGTGAGTAAACATTGGCAACTATAGACTTAGTGTCTAACTAATAAACATCGACAACTATGGACAAACACCGGTAGCTATGGATTTAGTACCTGTTAAGGAATTGGTAGCTATGGACTTAGTACCTATTAGATAAACACTGGTAGCTATGGATTTAGTACCCGATGAATAGACTATAGCAGCTATGGAATTAGTGCTTTATGAACGAACATTGGCAGCTATGGATTTAGTGTCAGTCCTATAACCCTGGAAGTAAGGGACTTCGGAATAAACGAATGCAGAATAGATGACTCTTAGGATAAATCCTTAAGAGTAAAGAAGATAATGGGGATGGGTAATTGGGTTGATTGTTTTATTGTTTAAACATAATAATTACATTATTGTGGGTTGAAAACCCTATGTACTCACCAGGTTTCCCAACCTGACCCACTCAGTTTATTTGTATCACATGTGTTGATATGAAGTCACATTACACTGAGAGATTAAAGAGATGTAGATCACTAGTGTAAATAAATGTAAGTTCTGTTTATGCTTATGTTCGTGTATTGACGATCACATCCCAAACGTTTTAAAATGAATAAAATACGTTTCTTCGAAAATGTTTTAATAACGTATTTATCGTGTTTTTCTGGGAACGAATTTCGTAACATTTTTATTAAAAGAAGAACTTTGTTTTTTATAAAGCATAAACAAAATCGGTGTTTTCTGGCCGTGAAAATGGGGATGTCACAAACATTAACATAAATACAAAAAATAAAAAATAAATATAAAGATATATGATATTATTTTCAAATTGAATGGACCAAAATAATCCGGAACAATCCAAAAGTATACCACGAAAAAAAAAAACTAAAGTTGTTTTAACAACTCCATAAATCATTTTCTTTTAAATATCTTAATGATAAAACTTAAAAAACGGTTCCCGTGGTTTTCGAAAATATCAAGTTTAGTCTCCAAGTTTAAAAAACCTCACTGATCGTCCATGTGGTTTCAAAACTTTTAATGTTTAATCTTTCCGCCTATCTCCGTCAGCTTTCTGCCGTTAAGTGATGAGCATTTTCGTCATTTTAATACCAAGGGCCATTTATGAGGTTGTCTCGATTAAAAAAAAGAAAAAAATATATAATTATTTAATAAAAGGGCCCCACTCCCCCTCTCTCTCTCATACACACGATCATCTTCTTCGTAACAAAAACTTAGATACATTTCACACCAACAGACACACTTTGAACAAAATTGGAATCTCGATAAATATTGTACAAGGACGCCATAGAATTAGATCAAGAATCTTAATCTCCAATTGGGTATCAGGTAAAAAAACATAATCTGATTACCATTCTTTCAAATCCTTATTCAATCTGTTTCATATTTCATCATCTTAATCAAAAACTTTGATGGGTTCACAAGGATTTATCAGGTTAAGACTATCTTCCTTCTTTAACACCACAATAGTATCAAATCGTTCAGGGGATTCCATTTTCCATTTACAATATGTACTGAAAAACCCCATGACACTAGAATCATCCATTCCCTTTTCTATTCATAGGAAATGGTTTATTGTATGATACTAGTAGAATCGAATTTAGCTGATTCCAAGGGAGGATAGCATTACAAATTTAGGATAGAGAGGCAGCTCCTCCGGTGGTGGTGGCGACGGTCTGGCGAGAGCAGGTCTCTCCAATAATCTTCGAATAAGGAAGAAAAGAAATCGTTAGGGAGAGAATTCAACAACTGTTTTAAGCAGAATCGATGTTGTTCGCCATCACCCCTTCCAACCTTGGTTCACCGGAAAAACGAAGCAGAAGAATGGGGACTGTCGCCTCCGATCTAACCCCCTATCCACCTTTCCCATCGAAGCTTAACCCCCAAACACCCTACTTTGATCGGCGACTGCAGCTGCCCCCTCCCTTCGAGTTTCACTGCCGGAATAGCCCAAGTCAAAGAAGAAATCAACGATAGCTGTCACTTCCATTATTCTCCACTCTTCAATCGGATCAAGCATCGGTGGTACACCCCCTTGATCGGAAATCGTTGCCACTTGGGCCCTTCCGTTTTCCTATTGCCACAAATTGGTGTCTCTCCCTCCCTTTGTGATTGGCTCAACCATTGCCGGAGGTCCCGTCAATTTCTTCAGTTTGCATCTTTTCCATTCCCGTCAAATGGGAGGGGGTTGTTGCCCTCTTGAATGTCGGAAAAACCCAACTCTGCTGGAGATTTTCTCGATTAAAGTTGAAGAAGAAAAAGGAAGGCAACAACAACAAATATCAGTGGTTATTTAGCTAGCTTGTCATCGAGAAAGAAGAAAGAGTTGATTCGGTGGTGAATCGATATAAAGGAAGGTTGATTGGTTGGGATGTGATGAACGAGAATCTGCATCATAACTTCTTCAAGAAAAGACTCGGGAAGAACACGTCGTCGTTGTTTTTCAATCGAGTTCATAAAATTGATCCGAATGCGATTTTGTTCATGAATGAATTTAACACCACTGAACATGTGAACGATGAATACGCTCCTCATGTGAAATACTTGAGAGGGATGAAAAAGATTCAGTCGTTTCCGGGGAATAGCGAGATCAAAATGGGGATAAGGTTGGAATCGCATTATGGGGCTGAGCCAATTGACTTTCATTATGTAAGAAGCTCGCTTGACTCGTTGAGTTAAACGGGTTTACCGAGATGGTTGAACAATTGGATGTTGAGAGAGAGAGAGAGAGAAGAGAGAGAGAGAGAGAGAGAGAGAGAGAGAGAGAGAGAGAGAGAGAAGGTGGGGCCCTTTTATTAAATAATTATATATATATATATATATATATATTCTTTTTTTAATAGAAACAACCTCATAAATGATCCCTGGTATTGAAATGACGAAAATGCCCCTCACTTAACGGCAGAAAACGGACGGAGTTAAGCGGAAGGACTAAACATTAAAAGTTTTGAAACCACAGAGACGATCCGTAAGGTTCTTTGAACTTAGAAACTAAACTTAATATTTTCAAAAACCACAGGGACCGTTTTTGAAGTTTTTTCTATCTTAATTAAGTTTATTAAATAAAAATTAAACAACACACCTCAAGAAAGTCTACATTTAATGAGTGTAGTACATGTTTGGTGATTCAAAATTTGAAAAAGCCCTACGAATAAAGCTTTCTTTTTGGCCCGCCCGTCTCTCTTCCTCTATCTCTCCCCGGCGGAAAACACCAAACCCTCACTCGCTCTTTATAGACCATTGCCGCTCGACATTTGATCGATACTGAATTCCTGGTATTAGATATACATACAAAGGATCTCTAGTCCCTTGACCTATTTCTAGGGTTTTCTCTTTATCGCTAGGAACTGTAACGATGTCGCTGAGACCTAGCGCCAGAACGGAGGTTCGCCGGAACCGATACAAGGTGGCGGTTGATGCCGAGGAAGGGCGCCGGAGGCGAGAAGACAATATGGTCGAGATCCGTAAGAACCGGAGAGAAGAAAGTTTGCAGAAGAAGAGACGCGAAGTCACTGTTAGCCAGTTCGCCATGCCCGTTCAGTCTGCTTCCGCCGCCGAAAAGAAGGTATTTAGATTTTGTAATACGGTCATACTGTATGCAATTTTGCTGGATTTACGTTGTAGTATCGCTACTCTGTTGTGCTGTGTCTGGAATTTTAGGGTTTTCTGTTTGTCTTGCTGTTAGGAACTGTAGCTCAATCGACATTGGTTCGGATGACGTTTGGAATTTGTATTTAGGATATAGTCTACGCCGATAAACATGGCCGAATGACATGGTTTTAGTTGTGTCGGTATAGTATTTCTTTGTAGCATCATTACTTCCTGAGTGTACCCTATGCCCTAGCTCTATACTGATTGCAGATAGAAAATGCTTTTAAGTACTAGTACGAGCTCTTGATGTTATGCGCTGAATTTTACTGTGATTATTCAAATTGCAGTTGGAAAATCTTCCTGCAATGGTTGCTGGAGTTTTCTCTAATGATAACAATATGCAGCTTGAGGCCACTACTCAGTTTCGTAAACTCTTATCAATAGGTAATACCATTATCATTTTTATCTCAATATACTGCTCCTACTTCTTACATTGCTAATTCTATTACATTTTCTTAATCAGAACGCAGCCCTCCAATCGAAGAAGTTATTCAATCTGGTGTTGTCCCTCGCTTTGTTGAGTTTCTTGTGAGGGAGGATTTCCCCCAACTACAGGTGAAATAGAACATCATAAAACAGAAATACAAACAAGAATCTCATATCTCTTGTATAATAACAATATACACTTCCTGTATTCTATAGTTTGAGGCTGCTTGGGCTTTGACTAATATTGCCTCTGGAACATCTGAACACACAAAGGTGGTGATTGATCATGGAGCTGTCCCGATTTTTGTGAAACTTCTTGCATCTCCCAGTGATGATGTTAGGGAGCAGGTATGTTTCTTGTTTTTAATTTTTTATATTCTATTTCTATCTACTCAATATCTGATTGTCTGTTACTCTGTACATGGTAGGCTGTATGGGCCCTAGGGAATGTGGCTGGTGATTCCCCTAAATGTCGTGACCTTGTACTCTCACAAGGAGCTTTGATTCCTTTACTTTCCCAATTAAACGCACAGGCTAAGCTATCTATGTTGCGAAATGCCACTTGGACACTTTCCAATTTTTGTAGGGGCAAACCACAACCTTCTTTTGATCAGGTTAGTCTCTCAAAACCTTAAACCCTAAACCCTAAAACCATAAACCCTGATCAATAGTTTTGGTTTGTTTTGAGTTTTTCAGACAAAACCTGCACTTCCGGCTCTACAGCAACTTATTCGTTCAGAAGACGATGAAGTCTTGACAGATGCTTGTTGGGCGCTTTCATATCTTTCTGATGGCACCAATGATAAAATCCAAGCTGTTATTGAAGCAAATGTATGTCCAAGATTGGTTGAGCTATTGAAGTGAGTCTGGTATTTGTTTTTTTTAATAAAGTTAGAATCTCTTGAATCCTTTTTTATTTTCTAACATTCTGTTATATGCATATATTTTTGTATCTTCAGTCGTGCTTCTCCAACTGTGCTTATCCCTGCTCTTCGTACAGTTGGGAACATTGTTACTGGAGATGATATGCAAACTCAGGTAGGTGTTTATTTTGTAATATATTTTTTTTAAAGAATATTATTATTTGACACTCACTCTGTAATGTGTTTGTAGTATATAATCAATCTTCAAGCATTGCCTTGTCTTCTGAACCTGTTAATTGGTAATCACAAAAAGAGCATTAAGAAGGAAGCTTGCTGGACTATATCAAACATCACTGCTGGCAATAAGGAGCAGATTCAGGTAAATTTTTGTCCAGATTTAAGTGTATATATTATTAATTAGCTTTGCATTCTTGACTGGTATTTGTATGTTTTTTACAGATAGTGATTGAAGCAAATATCATTGGTCCTCTTGTTCTTTTGCTTCAAACTGCTGAATTTGACATCAAGAAAGAGGCTGCATGGGCCATCTCAAATGCTACTTCAGGTGGAACCCACGACCAAATTAAGTGAGAAAAACTTTTTTTTTTTTTTTTTTTGTTGTATGATTGTTTTTTTTATTCTAGATATTAATATAAAATGATGAGTGTTTTGCAGGTATTTAGTTAGTGAGGGGTGTATCAAACCTTTGTGTGACCTGCTGATCTGTCCAGACCCACGGATAGTGACAGTGTGTTTAGAGGGGCTTGAGAACATTTTAAAGGTTGGTGAAGCTGAAAAGAATTTGGGGCAATCTGGGGATGTAAATGTTTATGCACAAATGATTGATGATGCTGAAGGATTGGAGAAAATAGAGAATTTACAGAGTCATGATAACAATGAGATATATGAGAAAGCAGTGAAGCTTCTTGAGACGTATTGGTTGGATGAAGAGGATGATGTTATGCCACCTGGCGAAGCAACTCCTCAGCCTCAGCCTGCTGCTTTCCATTTTGGAGGTGCTGATGTTTCCGTTCCCTCTGGTGGATTCACCTTTAACTGATTCAAGTCAAGGTATATATACATGTACATTTCCTTTTACTTTCATATTATGGAATCAGGGAAGGAATGGAATGGTTCATTCCATGATGTTTGATGTTTCTTTCCATTCTTTCAGGTGATTCATCGTTTCTGAAGTAGGGCTCTTTTTTTGACCTGGGTGGTGGTCCAGTATTATTATAGTTTTGACTTTTGAGGGTTTCTGTTAACTGTTTGGAGTCAATATCTTACCAGTGATGACTGGAGTCTTGATGAATTATGTAAAGTAGTTAGATTTCTGTTTGATTATTTGACATTGGGATTTATGGATTTAGTCCCGTTTTTGCTTTGTATTTCTTATTTGCCACTTACTTGAGAATTACCAATTCCCTATATGTACTAGTCAAGATTATAGTTATGAAGACACTTTTTGGGTCTACTTTCTGTTGACAGCTTTAGCTTTATCGCCTTTTGACGTTTTAATTATGGCTTTGGAATTGTAAAATGAACTTCTGCCTAATAACTTGTAATTAGTGTGGCTAACAATACCTATGTCATTAATCTTTAATATCATTTTAACGGTGCTACGTTTTTATGTTAGACATGCTAGATTTTTGGATAGTCACAAAAATAACCACGTGATTATGGAGAATTAATGTGAATGAACCATTTCTTATTCATTTCCGGAAATGTCTTGTCATAAATTTCTTTATTCTTGTAAATCCGAAAGGGTTACTAGTTTTCAACTAAGGGATAATGACTTCAGAGGGTAATATACTTTTGATTTTGATCACATTTGGTCACTGAACTTTTTTTCGGGCTCTATTAACCCTTTAACTTGTTGATTTGTGCAAAATTTCCCCTTCCGACTGGTTTTTGCCGGTTTCAATGAATTTATTGATCCTACGTGTCAGTTTTGATCCTAACTGGCATCTAGGGTTCTTGTTATTAAAGGAGGGGCGTTTGTTGTTCATTTATTGTGCTCTAATACCCCGTTGCCCTAATACCCGATGGCTTCCTCCTACAGCATCTCATCCTCCCTCAATCGATCAAGCAAGAAATCCACAGTGAATGATCCAAAAACTTGTGATTGTGGGTTCCCTGCACGTATTCTAACATCAACAACACCAAAGAATCCAGGGAGGCATTTCATGGTGTGCAATGAGGTAAGCAATTTCACTTAAATTTCCCCTCTTTTCTGATTCATTTATTCCAGATTTGAAATCTCACTTTGAAATTTTATTGTGGAAGGGTAAATGCAAATATTGGAAATGGTTGGATGTAGAACTTGTACAGATGCCTCTGATGGAAGTGGTGGAGGGAATGAAAGCTGAATTAGTAGCATTGAAGACCGAAGTAGAGAAGGTGAAGGAAGACATGGAACAATGAAGAAGGAAAAGTACTCTGATGCCATTGCAATGAAGGAGAAAATATATAAGTTTACCATTGGATTTCTTTTTCTGATCATCGTGTATATGATGAAATGAAGTCACATGATGTATTGAAAGATGTTGTTTGAATAGAATAGAGTTGTTATCTTAACTTCTTGTTGGAATGGAATGAAGTAACATTGATTGTAATGGAAAATTTAATTATAAAGAAGCATACATATTAACTGCATACATATTAACTTTGATTGGAATGGAATCACAAAGAATGGAATGAAGTAACTTTGACTGGAATGGAATCACCAAGAAATATTTTTGACTGGAATGGAATCATAAGGAAGCATACATATAACAATGAATACATATTTGATTTTGACTAGAATAGAATCACAAAGTAGCATGCATATAAAGAATTAATTTTGACTGGAATGGAATCACAAAGTAGCATGCATATAAAGAATTAGTTTTGACTGGAATGGAATCACAAAGTAGCATACATATAACAAATACATATAATAAAAAAAGTAAGTGAATGTGGTGGTTGGATTCATTGTAATACGCCATTAATATTCTACAGTTATATAAGTTTTTGTCTGCATACACAAAAGTAGTTTCTAGGTAACACAAAAGATTCCTGCATAGACAAAAGAAGGGCCACCATGTGCCCATACACCTACTTGATAGTACCATAGAAAAGCATAATAAAAAGACTACTACTTTGTCTTTACATCACAACTGCCTTACAAAAGATATTCCTACCCACCCACTATTATCCCCTAAATTAATCAATAACTGAAGGGTTATCTGCATTGCTCCCAACCCCAGGTATCTGCCTCCTTAATGCTTGTTTGATAATCCGTTCAGAATATTTCCTCCTTCCACTTCTACTAACTGGGACCCTTCTTCTTGGCATGGGGGCTGCAGGTGGTGGTGGAGGAGGTGGTGGTCCTTCATTGCCCCTGGATAAACTTGGGTCTGCTCCACTGCCCCTGGATGAACTTGGTACTGCAAACAAAAATTAAAATGTCAATTCTTTGTTCAAATGATGTAATTTTTTTAAAAATATTCACCTGATGTATTGCTTTGTTGGTTAGATGGACACTTTTTCTTGTTGTGACCTGGTTCCTTACAAATACCACACTTTATTATGCTACCCCTTCTTGAGACAGTTTGTCTACTTGATCCACTCAACTCTCGTTCAATTGCATCCCTCTTCCTTTTCACAGATGGCCTACCAGGTAATCTTCTTCTTTTGGGAGGCAAAGGCTTATGGTATGGAACATCTGGCCACATTTCACTACTATTGAGAGGATTAATGCTATATTTGTAGCATTTTAGGTAAGCCTCAGTAGTGTATGATTGGGACACATATGCCTCAGCATCATGATTTAAGTAAGATATTGCTGCCACTCCATGTAAGCATGGTATCCCTGTAAGTTGCCATATTCTACAGGCACACTTCTTTGCAATTAGATCCACTCCATATGCAACATCAGTGAATCTAACCTCATACTTTTGATAACCACAAGGAGTAACTCCCCACAATCTGTTTAAGCATATTAACATCAGTGAATCAATAACACATCCTCATAATTAACATAAGCATATTAAAGTAAAATAATTACCTCTGTTTAACCTTCAGATGTTCTATACGCTTCCTAATAGTTGGACATATAAGCAAATCCCATTCCATTCCTTCAACTCTTTGAGTGTATATCCTTTCCATCACAAATAACCTAATCTCCTCCAGCATAGTGATTATAGGTCTCCTTCTAGCATGCCTAATAGCAGAATTGAAACTCTCACTGACCCCATTCTCCACTGCATCACAGTCTCTTCCTTCTTGAAAGAATGCCTTAGACCAGGTAGTAGGATCTCTGTCTATAAGGTAATCATAAGCATGAGTATCAATAGATTTGATGTTCTCCATTACACCTCTGAACTTCTCCACAGTACTAGCCCTTACAGCCCTCCAAAATAACTTTATGTATTGTTGACCAGTAAACCTTTTATTAAAATTGGCCAGAATGTGTCTAGCACATTGTCTATGTTCAGCTTCTGGACATTTTTCCTTAACTGCTTGTAATAACCCCTACAAATCACAACATCATTATGAGTGAAAAAGCATAAAAATGAAGCATAAAAATGACCTAGTACTAACCTTGTGTCCATCAGAAAGAAGGGTAATGCCTGCACCAAGACCACCATTAATGTCATCCATAAGCAAATCTATGAACCACTTCCATGTTTCTTTATTCTCAACACATACCACAGCCCATGCTAAAGGGTAGATGTGGTTGTTTGCATCTCTCCCAACAGCTGAAATAACTTCTCCTCTAACTATACCCTTTAAAAAGCAACCATCAAGCCCAATTACTGGCCTGCACCCTTCTAACCAACCATCCCTTACAGCTTTGAAACACACATAAAACTTAGAAAACAAAGTTGTGGAATCTGGCATGATGTCTACATCCAATCTCACAGTAGACCCAGGATTTGACCTGATAATTTCCTCACCATATGACCACAATCTCCCATAATGTTCAATTAAACTTCCTTCAATCTCTTGTAATGCAAATTTCTTTGCATTTCTGCATTGCCCCACACTCACATTTATGTTGAATGTTGTTGACACTTTAGCTTTCATCTTCCTTGCACTCATTTTTGGGTTCTCTATAATTTGACTCATAAAATGTTTCCCTATCCATCTATAAGTTACAATTGACCCAAACTTAAACACCCTACAACAATTATGTTCATTCACTAGAGATTTGATCTGAAAAGTCTTTTCTTTACCCATCCAGGAGGCCCATAGTCTGAAAGGGCAAGATGGTGACTTATTCTTTTTGCAACATTTCACTAACAATCTATCAGAGTCATTTTTTTCAAACCATAGATCATACCCATTAGCAACTGCATAATTGCTTAACATATGTTTAAGCTCAGTAGGGTTACAAAATCGCATACCTATAATTGGTTTCATCTGATCCCATGGCTGTCTCTCATCATACACAGGGTACTGGGGTGGCACGTATTCATCATCTTGATCTTCACTCTCTATAGGTTCACAAAGGATGTTTAAAAATCTATCACGTGCAGTTTTGTTTGCTGGAAATGGATAGGTAGCATCATCTTCTTCATGATCAACAAATATGAATCTTGAATAACTGAATCCTCATCTTCATCTAAGTCTTCGTTTTCACTTTCACTTTCCTCAGCCTCAATCCAGTCGAAGATAGGTTCATTATGGTGATCCACATATACATTCATTCTCTTGTCATTAGCATACGCCAAATCCAAAAATTCCTTGTAATCACCGTTGTTCACCAGTGTATGAATTCCAAGACCTAAAGACTCTTGTGGAAGGCAGAAATAGATGTCTTTGCTTCTCGATTGGTGAGCTTGTGAAGGAATTCCATGAATTGCTCATACCCAAACCCACTGAAGTCAACATCTCGCACTGATGCTCTGTCGGGATCAAAGTAAACTAAGGGATTGGGTGCAAACTGACCATTGTAGTGGAAATCCACTACAATGAAGTTCTGATCAGTAGGATTTGGAGATGATGCCATAGAACGGTTGAAGGAGATGAATGATCGATGGAGAATTTTGTGACCTAGTCGAGTTTAAGGACCAAATGAGACTTCGGGGTGTGGTTTAATGAGACGGAGACGAAAAATCGGGCCCTACATGCCACCTCTTTCGCCACGTAAGATAAAAAAATACACGTAGGATCAATAAACCGTTTAAAACCGGCTAAACCCGGTCATAAGGGGAAAATTTGCACAAATCAACAAGTTAAAGGGTTAATAGAGCACGAAAAAAAGTTCAGTGACCAAATGTGATCAAAATCAAAAGTATGTTACCCTCTGAAGTCATTATCCCTTCAACTAAATGCCACCTTTTTATGATAATATTTTGAAAGTTTGGATTTGTTTGTTGGGTTTCTGAAATATTTTCCAACTTATTTTTCAGTCCATCATTCAAAATATAAATCCGGTCATTTCCTATGTTATCTATAATCACATGATAAAGTTTTGTGATTATCCCGAGATTTTTTAAATTACAAGTCATAACTAAATCAGCTTACCCATATTTATGAAACAATATTTTATAGTATTTTTTTTTTCCCAATTTATAAGGCTGCACGGTGTGGTGTGGTTTGGGATCGCACTTGGCTGCCACGTCAGCAGGGAACACTGCCCCCAGGGTGCGGTTTCCTGCGGTTAAGACCGCGGTGTGGCCTTTGAAGACCGTGAAATGTGATTGATTGGTCATTTTTTTGACCGTTCAATGCAATATTCGTTTATTTTATTTTATTTTATTTTCCTTTTGCTTTTTCTTTCCTTCCTATATATATACACATATCAAACTTAATTTTTTTTTTCAAAACACAATCTTCTCTCTCTCATTTTTTTTTTTTTTTAAATAATCACTCTCCAAAAAATGTCATCTTCTTCATCTTCTGAAGAATTTTAGACTATTTTTGATACCGCTATTACGTGTGTTCAAATGGCGAAACAAACATGCAACGTTGTATGTAACAACGCAGCTGCAAGTTCTCAACAGAGAACACGAAGATATATTTACAGAAATCGTAAATAAGCCAACCAACGTTTGGTGCAAGACTATTTTGCAGAGAATGCCACTTACCAAGGTTTATTCGAACGTATAGTTGAAGATGTAACGAGGGAGTGCAGTTTTTTCCAACAACGCTACGATGCTAGAGGTACACCCGGTTTCACTCCCTTACAAAAATGCACGACCGCACTTCGTCAGTTAGCATATGGCATTCCGTCTGATGCGTTAGACGAAAGTTTTAGGATGTCTGCTAGGATAGTACGAGACAATCTCCATTTTTTCTGCAAAACTGTGATTCAGTTTTATGGTCCAAAATATTTACATAAGCCTACACGTAATGACATCTTGCAATTGCAAGCTCATCATGTTAGTGTGCATGGGTTTCCTGGAATGCTAGGAAGCTTAGATTGTCTCCATTGGGCATGGGGAAATTGCCCTACAGCATATCATGGGTAATTTACCCGAGGTGATCATGGTCACCCAACAGTAATACTTGAAGCAGTTGCATCACAAGATATGTGGATTTGATATGCTTTTTTTGGTTCTCCTGGTTCGATTAACGACATCAACGTTCTTAACCGTTCACCAATATTTAACAACATATATGATGGATCCGCACCAGATTCTTCTTTTCAAGTGCGTGGAACGCCATATAAGTATGGTTATTATCTGGTCGATGGAATCTATCCTGAGTATGTTGTGTTTGTTAAATCGTTTTCAGCTCCACATGGTTCTAGACGAAAGAAATTCAAGAGAGCTCAAGAAAGAGCTAGGAAGGATGTTGAGCGTGCTTTTGGAGCTCTGAAGAAATGGTGGTTCATATTGAAAAAACCAGTAGCTTATTTGGGCGAGGAAAAACTTCAAGAAATCATGTTTACATGTATTATATTGCATAACATGATTATTGAAGACGAAGGAAGAGTGATATGTACGTTTGACGATGAAGAAATCATACCAGAGACACAGCCAATAGAAATTGGTGGTGAAGAGTATATAAACAAGAAAGTAGAGATACATTGCACTGAAACATTTCACAATCTTCGCAATAACTTGGTGGAACACATTTATGGGATTCAAAACATTAACCTTAATTTGGATCCACCGGATGACCCCGAAGACGAGTTCTCGGATAACGACTTTATGTAGTTTCCTTTAGTTATTTTATTTATGCTTTTTAAGTTTCTAGGGTTATTTAAATATCATGTGTGTGTGTGTTTGTGTTTTTTTTTTTTTTTAATTTTCAAGTAATGAAGAATTATGTTTTTTTTTTATTATTTTTTTTATTAAAATAGAAGGTATATTAAATTAAATTAGTTAAAAAAAGAAGTTTTATTAAATTAAAATACTTAAAAAAATAATAATAATAAAAGAAATGAAAAGTGTGGCACCACACACTTGAGTGGTAAAAAGTGACATGACGCTGATGTGGCGGGGGAGGAAGTGCGGTTTCAGTGGCACCACTCCCTCCAGCCTAATACAACCTTTTTTTTGGATTGATCTGCAACTTGACGAACACATGTTATAAGTATGAGTAAGTTTCTATAAACGATGACACCTGTTATAAATCACTGTTTTAGTAAACTCTACATTTGAATATCAAACCTTAATTCATCTGAAACTACAAAACCTTTCTTAGGGGAAAGAGCTGATAACATAAAATTCTCTCTATACAATGAAAGCAACTTAACCCAATTATACACACCAATGTGACCCTTGTGTAAAAATAAATCAGAGATCTCCCATGCATCCGGCATGTGGATCGTGGATCAGAAGAGAATCGCCTTGAGGATTAAAAGAAGCAACATTAAGAAACACATGAAGACAAGCACTGTAGCACACATCACCATTCCGCCTTGTTTCTGGTTTCTCTCTGCCTGCAAATATCATACCAACATCATCACAGCTCTAGTACCTCTTGTTTCTTTTTGACTTAATCCACTAAACTCTATATATAATATGGGTGTTTGAGTTTTTGTTATTTACTTAATGCAGAAAGCAGCATTTCATAAGGTGAAATGAAGGATAGAGACAAACCTTTTGTAGCTGTTTAAGTCCTTCATCCACAGATACTGCAACATTTTGAATATTGTAATCTATTCTGTCTATGATTGTTCCCTGCTTGCCAAAAAAAAGTCTTATTAGTATAAACATTGTGCCTTTATATGGCAAAAGTGTTACTATTTAAAAAAAAAAAAAAAAAACTATTGGCTTTGACCTGGTCAATTACTAGGACAGAAAGATCCTTCATGATCTGTGCCAGTTCGTTCACTGATTCTGCCACCTATGGAGGAGAGAGAAAGAGAGAGTTAGGTAAATGCAAAAATTGCAATGCACTTGAACGAATAAAAAAAATAAACACAAATCTCATGCACCTACTTGGTGAATCTCTCTGTCCCTTTCTGCTGTGAAAGCCTCACTTTTCTTCAATTTGGCCATTTGATGTTTGTTAAAACCCTAGATAAATAATTTTCAAGTCAAGAAAGCCTGTTTAGAAGTGAAGGATTGTAGAATCTGTGAAATTAAAACCCTAGATAGCTAGATTAATGCAAAAAGGAAAACAATGAACATACCAAATCATCATAACCATCATCCTCGCTTATAGAATGCTTTCCATTTAATTTCATTTCTAGATCAACCCCATCTGAACCCTACATGAAAAAAGCCACATATTATTCAACTGAAGGAATCATATTTTCCATCCACAATGGTCCATTCCATTGATTCCACCACACAAAACAAACAACTTTATTTTCATTCCATTCATTCATGGATTCCAATAGTCAATAATTAAAAGAGAATAATTAGGGAAAACCTCTTTCTGCTGCTGAAGGCGTTTCAGATATGTCGATTGCTTCCTTCGAAGTTCCATTGAAAGACTTTGAAGATCAGTGGCTAAAGATCGCTGACATAAAACCATAACATACATGGTTTCATATGACAACTCTGTTTATTAAAAAATTAATATAAAAACTTCAAATCCACGATGAAAGTTAGCGTTATATTATTATACCTGGACATTTTTCCTGACAGTTGAATCCTCAGCACATCCAGCAGCAGATAATTTTCTTAATCTCTTCTCTGATTTTTTTAAAAGAGCAGTTACTTCATGTGTAAGTGCTTCAATCCTGTGCTGATCTTCCCTACCATCCCCAAATGAGGGCATCAAAGCCTTCACATGAGCTTTTGATAGCTCTGCCATTTTTGACCTTGCAACTTGAATGTTTGCTGCTATTTCTTCAGATACATCAACCCAAGCTGGAGGGAGACCCACCATTGGTGTCCCCACCCTGCAAAAATGGACAACATAACTTCACTAAATGGGGTTCACAAGCACATGAGAGCAACAATTTTGAAGGTAATAAGCAGAAATGTATACATCTGATGTGCAAGTACACAAGAAAGACAATTTTGTTTCGAAATTTGAAGATCAAAATATAAGCCATAGCTTGGATATTTCATATTTCATAAAGTGTCAGAAAAGCAAATGAGGCGCGAAGGATATACGAGGAAGTTCCAGGATCCTCTGTGCTAAGAGGAGCGTAAGAACGATTTTGCTTAAGCAGAGAACCGTCAGCCATTTCGATCACCGAACCACCGTCGGAGCTAGAGGAAACCGCGGGACGACCTGACGGAACCCTAACGCTTTTCAATGCGTCTCTGTACCTCCTAAAAAGAAATGTCCTATTCCTTGTCGCCATTGAAGAAAAAAAGCCTCCCTGAAAACGATGAGTAGTTCAATGCATACGAAAAAACTGCCCTCAAATCCCACGATTCCAATAAGCATCACAGTCGATGAACAACAATATAAGGGTGAATTGCGATGATCTTATTAGTGATCAGAGAACAAAATTCCTTGGTACGTAAGTGATTGTTGAAAAAATCAAGAGGTGGTGAGGAGCGAACAGTGATGAAATTAAGAAGAAATTGTTTTCAATTATGTTTTACATAAGATACCTCGGTTGTAAACGCACACCTCGTCATAAACTCATTTGCTGTTTCGTTATGTTTTGTTATAAAAATCGATACAAAACATAACTAACATTTTATGTTCATCATATTTTTTATTTTATTTATCCATTTAAAAACAATTTAAAAATAATATATTTTAATTTTTATATTTGTATCGTAATTTTCTGTTTTTAATTAAAATTTAAAATATAAAAATAAAAAAACATATTTTTAAGTGTTTAAGTGAACAAATTAAAACCATAAGAGAAAATAACATGAACCTCATATATATATATATATATATATATATATATATATATATATATATATATATATATATATATATATATATATATATATATATATATATATAAAGAGAGAGAGAGAGAAGGGTTAATACGAAAATACAAATAATTTGCGAAAATAAGAAAAACTTATAAGATTATGCCACCTCAACATCATCTTTTTGGACAATAATTCATCCAAATTTTGAAATACATTATGATAATCGATAATAGATGAGAAACTTAGACATATTAACAAAATATGATTTTTGACATTTTTATTATGAAAACGTGAATTTAAAAATGGTAAAGAACGTGAAATAAAAAAGTAATTATTAAAAACGTTTTTAAATCTATATTATTATAACACAATCCAATGTAAACTTATTATCTTTAATTTATTGTTAATAAATTTATTTTTTATAGTACATGTGTTTAATTTTTATAAGATAAAATATGTTCTCGCGTTTTCGCATTAACATATATATATATATATATATATATATATATATATATATATATATATATATATATATATATATATATATATATATATATATATATATATATATATAGGAGTATGATCAAATGAGAACACCTAAAAGGTTGAGAACGCGAGAACAGATCACAACCTTATAAATAAGGGATAATGACTTGAAAGGGTAACGAATTTTCGACTTTGTTCACATTTAGTCATTAAACTTTTTTTCGTTACCTATTTGCCACCGAACTATTAAAATTGTTCACATTGTACCTTTATGATTGTTTGTTACTGGTCATAAGGGTAAAATGTGAACAGTTTCAATAGTTCAGTGACAAATAGATAATATAAAAAAGTTTAGTGACTAAATGTGAACAAAATCAAAAGTTTGTTTCCCTCTAAAAAAGTTTAATGTCTAAATGTGAATAAATTTCCTCTTGTATTATGTTTTAGCAAATTATTTATTTTTGTTAAATTTTAGCAACATTTGTTAATGAAAAAAATCTATGAAATAAAAAAAAACCCCAACAAAATATATTAAAAAAATGAAAAACCGAAACCGAAATAAAAAACCAATGGTCTGGTATTTTCCAAAATAAAAAATCGAAATTTCTAATTTGATTTTTGTTTTACAAAAATTCAAATTTCGAATTTACATATCTAAATCTCTCTCCCTTTTTATAATCGAAAGATGATTATAAAACCAAAAAGGAAATGAGAAAGCGCTCAATTCGGAATTTTTCCATCTAAAACTTCCCCTTAACACATGGCATAAATATTTTGCTTCAATCCGGAAAATCCAAAAAATCTTCAATTTTTAGCTTTGTTCACGGACCACATTTAACAATAATTTAGGTAGAAATTGTCAATTTCAAAATTATGTCAAATCGGAATCGGGGTAGACCGTATGTTATGCTCTTATGATCCATAGGGATTGGTATGTTAATGACCTGCTAGGTTGGTACTCTAGTTACAGGAAAATTCTATGATTTATGATCAGTGTGACAGATATGTTTGATGTTTATATATGCCTGTATATGATAGTATGCGCACATGGTTTTGCTTGTGTGGCTGGGTTGAGGCGGTCCTGTTTTGTGCTGAAGGCCAATATACCCTATGAGCAGTCCGGGGAGACTATAGGCCTACGTGGCGGACCAGTCATACTGAAGGCTCGGGATAGATTTAGATAGACTGTAGGCCCGGTAGGGCGGTCCAGTCAGGCCGATGACCCAGTATGCATGTTGATTGACTGATTATTACTAATATGGTATTGTCAGTGTGGTACTGGTATTTTAGGGGTAGCTCACTAAGCCCTCGGGCTTACAGTTTTCAGTTTATTGTTTCAGGTACTTCAGGAGGTCGTGGAAAGGCGAAGGCGAGACCGTACCGCTCCTCATCCTAATGTTATGGTTTTGGGACACTCTGATGGATTTGGATTTGAAAACATTTTTGTAAACAGACTTTGTTTGATTTTATTCACGATTGAAAAAGTTTAAATTTGGCGTAAAATTTATGGTTGTTACAAGTTGGTATCAGAGCCTTAGTTTGAGTGAATTGGAGGAACACTCGTGTGAATCTAATCTCAAATCAAGGAGATTTTCGAAATTAAGTTTTAAAATGTTTTTCAAAATAAAGGATGGAGGATGCAAAGGGTACGATCAGCCGGAGCCTGTAAGTAAACCCCAAAATACCATGCAGTTATTTGATATTCTGATATGTTAGAACAGCATGCTATTGCTAGGCTAGGGATCTTCAGGAATCATATGATAGATTTGCCTGATTGCATGATGCCTATTAGCCTAGGGTCTCTTGTACATGGAATTGACATCATAACTGTGGATGTTTAGTGTATGCATCACGACTGTGCATAATAAAGACCTTATAGCATGAGAATGTTGATTCGGCCTTCGGGTAGGATTGGATATTCGAAAGTCTATTAGGTCCAACGTTATGTGAAGCTAGCATGTAACGCCCGCATTTATAGGTTAGACATTATCATTGATGTAATAGTCTAGGTTAACCCTTGTAACTCTTTTTGAAGTATTAATGATGAAATATTTGAGTATTATGTGAATTACGTGAATTATGTGTTTATTTTCTTAATTATTATAATTTAATGAATTAAGAATAAAATAAGCATCAAAATTAAAGTACGAGATAAGCCCTATATCTTTGCATAAAGATGTAGTGGTCGAAACAAGGATCCCGAAGATATAAAGAATGCCAAAATCCGAGTTATAACGAACAAGTTATGACCTGTCGAAGTTTCGCGACAGAACCGACAACGCTGAATGACGTAAAAAGTGAAATTTACATTAGAGAAATATTTAGCCTTAGTGATCCAAACGAAATTCGTAGAGTTCGTTAAACCGAGAGCGTGCATAAAAAGAACGCCCAAATCTGACTTCGTATGAGGAAGTTATGATTTTTCGAAGTTTCGACTTAGCAATATGCAGCCTGAATACTCGATTTCAGATCGAGCAGTTTTTAGCCAAAACAATCTAAATGAGAATCGAAGGTCTCGTTAATAGTAGTAAAACGATAAAAAGATAGGCGAAAACGGACGTCGGATGAAGAAGTTATGAATTTATAACGGAGTTTTTCTATCCTGGCCTACTAAAAATAAATAATAAAAATAATATCAAAATTAGCTGACGGAGTCTAAGCGAAAGTTGTAGAGCGTAGTCTCACCTACGCGTGGATATAAAGAACATCTAAAACGGAGTTCGTATGAGGAAGATATGAATTTTTGAAGTTTATTAAATATTTTCGATATTTAATTTATATATAAAATACCGATATTATCCGAAAGAGGGGGGGGGGAGTCAGCGACCCTATCCTCATTACGCCCAACGTAATTTCAATTTACGCCCAACGTAAATCGAAGTTCCAGCCCCCTATAAAAGGATGTCGAGGGCAACCGAGTTCTTTGCTTATTTCTTCCATTTTTCTCGCGTTTTTGCGTCGTTTTTCGTGCAAGAATTATCCCGAAGCCCCGATATCATTCCCGAGCCCTGAAGAAAGTCCGAAACCCCGAAGATCCCGAGAAGTGCGATTCCCGAGCCGAAGCACTGCCCGCGAGGAGTCCAGTTTTTGTGAAGATCTTCCAGATCTGCCGAAGAATACTACTTCTATAAGCCTTAGTGCTGTCCGATCATCTTCTGATCAAGTGAGTGTGTGGTTACTTTCTTCTAATGCATAATTATGAAGTATTTTATACAAAATACGTGTTATGTGTATATTTTGTTGTTATATGTGTGAATGTATATTCACTTTCTTCTATCTCATAAGATATGATTTATTCTCTGTGGAATACGTGTTATGTGTATGTGTCTCATCTGTTGTTTGGAATATGTATTGAATGAGAATGCTATAGAGGTTTTAAACTATGTACAAAAATATATATTTTTATCTACTAATATGTTGGGTAGAAAATGGGTAGATAGTTGTGTGATAAACAGATGAGAGGCCTCGATGTTGTTTTTGATTCAGTCATCTAGCGGAGTTTAGATGACGACCACAGACTTTTCTAGACAGTCCTGTGGAACGCTAGCAGGTTCGCCACCTGTAGGTGTTAATGAACTTGGGTGTTCATTCGTTGTACTCCATCCCCCTCATGGTTGCCTTATTTGACATATATTGCCCGAAAACCCCCGAATGCATGTGTTATCGCCCCGATGAAATATTCTAAGACTAGGTCCCTTGTATTAGTTGTTTTAGGGACGTAAAGTGAGAATAACGGGAATGGGTAATTGGGTTATTGTTGAATGGTGGAATTAAATATAATTATTTATTGTGGGTTGAAAACCCTATATGCTCACCAGGCTCCCAAGCCTGACCCACTCAGTTTTATTTGTATTACAGGAAGTGGCGCAAGGGCATAAGATGGATGAATCATCAAGTTGTTTTGTTTACAAGTCTGTATATGTATATATTTGTTGAATGACTTGTAATGTTATCGTTTATGCGTTATGGTCTGTATCGGAACATGACATCCCGAGTTTTGATTATAT